GCCTTCTCCTTTACATTTACAAACCTACTGCCCCACTCTCTATCCTCCTATTCTACTTTGTCACTTAGTGTCATAAGACAATTATATATACATATATAACATATATATATATTTTTTGTTTGTTTGTTTGTTTGTTTTTGCGGTTTTTGGCTGGGGCCAGGTTTGAACTCACCACCTCTGGTATATGGGGCTGGCTCCCTACTCCTCTGAACCACAGGCGCCACTTGACAACTATATATTTTACTTGGCTACTCCCATTAGAAGTGAGCTAAGAGAGGGAGAGGATGTTTGTTTTGTTCACTGTCAGTGCCTGTCACATATAGAAGTTACTTAATCAGCTTACTGAATGATAAATTCTGAAAACATTACCTATGCAAAAATGATTCAAAGATGCAAGGAAACAACTAGAAATAACTAATGTATTAAGGTAGTAGACTGAATTATTTTGCAGATTAAAAATAGGAAAAAGGTTCAGGCATCAAGGCTCACATCTGTAATCTTAGCACTCTGGGAGGCCAAGGCAGATCAAGACCGCGTCTCTGAAAAACAGCCAGGCATTGTGGTGGGCACCTGTATTCTCAGTTACTTGGGAGGCTGAGACAAGAGAATGACTTGAGCCCGAGTTTGAAGTTGCTGTGAGCTGTGACGTCACAGCACTCTACCAAGGGTGGCAAAGTGAGACTCTGTCTCAAAAAGAAAAAAATAAGAAGAAGAACAACTGTCAGCATTGTTTTAAGTGGCCATTATCTGCTCTTATCTTTAGGAGACATGTTCCAAGACCCCCAGTACATGCCTGAAACCAAAGATAGTACCAAACCCTACACAGATGTTCCTCAAACTTATGACAGGTTTATATCCAGCAAATTTGAAAAATTTTAAGTTGAATCACTGTTAAGTCAGGCACTATCAGTATATATTTTTTTATTTCTATACATAACATACCCATGATAAAGTTTAATTCATAAATTAGGTACAGTAAGAGATTACCAAAAATAACAATAGAACAGAACAATAACAATAAGCCACTATCACTGCTTCTGTGCCTTGGAGCCATTATTAAGTAAAATAAGGATGATTTGGACACAAGCACTGTGAGACTACAACAGTCACTGCTAACCAAGTAAGGCTACTAAATGACTAACAGGTGGGTAGTACAGATAGTGTGAATACGCTGGACAAAGGGATGATTCACGTCCTAGGCAGGATGAGGTGGGACACTGAGGGATTTCAACATGCTACTCAACTTAAAACTTACAAATTCCTTATTTCTGGAATTTTCCATGTAGTATTTTCAGACTACAGTGACTGTAGGTAAATGAAACCTTGGAAAACAAAAGGGAACACTATTATATAATATTTGAAATCTATCAGTTAAGAGTTAACGTACCACAAACCCTCTGGGTTAGCTACCCCCTCTTCTAGAATACTACTTCATCTTCTGTTACCTTCCTAAATTTTACTATGGCTTGAAATTAACTCAATAAAGTAGGAAATAAACTCTAATATAAACACTTTTTTTTTTTGAGACAGAGTCTCACTTTGTCATCCTCGGTAGAGTGCCGTAGAGTCATAGCTCACAGCAACCTCAAACTCCTGGGCTTAAGGGATTCTCTCGCCTCAGCCTCCCAAATAGCTGGGACTAAAGGCACCTGCCATAACGCCCAGCTATTTTTAGAGATGAGGTATCACTCTGGCTTAGGCTGGTCTCAAACCTGTGAGCTCGGGCAATCCACCCGCTTTGGCCACCAAGTGCTGGAATTATAAGCGTGAGCCACGATGCCTGACAAATAATATAAACACATTTAAATGGTCACATTCCCTGGATTAAGCAGGCTCATAGGTGTTTTAAATTAAGCCAATTTTTTTCATGAGCATATTGTCAAGCCCATAATCATAAGATAACTGTGTTTTATAGTACAATAGACCTGTGCTATCCAATATAGTAATCACTAGCTACATGTGGCCATTTCATTAAGTTAATTAAAATAAAGTAAAATAAAATTTCTCATTTGGCCTAACCACATTTCAAATGCTCAACATCATATATAGTTAGTAGATAACCATAATGGATAGCATAAATACAGATCACAGAGATAGGGCAGGACTGCTATAGATTTTTTCCAAAATTTTACTTTAAAGCGTAACACTGATTTAGCTCAAACATTGGCAGAATTCAGTCTTGTAATTTTCAATTTTCTATGTCAATGGTGCTCAAAATGTGGTCCCTGGACCAGCAGCAGCACTACCTAGGAATTTGTTAGAAATACAAATTCACAAATCCCAGTAATCTTTGTTTTAACAAGTACTCCAGATGATCCAGATTTTAAAGCACGCTCAAATTTTAGTCGCTGTTCTACGTTACTAAAAGCAGTTATGACAACAGAAGCCATGAGATAACAGGAACTCTACCATTATAATCTAAAATAGCCTATAAACAAGTCAGGTGCAGTGGCTTGAGCCTGTCATCCCAGGTACATTGGAGACTAAGGCAGAAGAATTGCTTAACCCTAGGAACTGATAGCCAGCTTGGGCAACACAGTGAGACCTCCTCATCTCAAAAAAATAATAATTAGGCCAGGCAGTGGTTCGTGCCTATAATCCTAGCACTCTGGGAGGCCAAGGCAGGTGGACTGCTTGAGCTCAGGAGTTCAAGATCAGCTTGAGCAAGAGTCAGATACCATCTCTACCAAAACAGAAAAAATCAGCTGAGCATCAGGGCAGGTACTTATAGTTCCAGGTACTTGGGAGGCTGAGGCAAGAGTTTGAAGTTGCTTTGAACTGTGTTGTCATGGCACTCTACCCAGGGCGACAGAGACTGTCTCAAAACAAAACAAAACAAAACACATTAAAACTAATTTGCTTCCTCTTCCAATTTGCAGATCCCTTTTCATTTCAACATAATCACATTTTCATCTTTTTCTAAAGTTTCAACTAAAAGCCTTTAATTTAGGAAGGAGATATTTTCAAATTTTGTGTCAACTGCAATTTTCACATGAGCAAATATTACTTCTGTAATAAACTAATCTAAGAAATCTATTAGCTACAATTACCTCAGCAAGAAGTTGAAACTGAAGTTGCTTAAGTGTTACAGAAGAGTCTGAACAAGCTGACTACTCTAATTTCCTCTTATCAATCATAAATCTAGCATAAAACTAAATATTTGCAGTATAAACATCCACGTATGTTAAATAGTCCTTATTAAATATTTTGACAAAAAAAATCCTTAGAAATTTAAGCTAAGAACAATAATGTGATACATTAAAGTGATTATAAAACCACTGGGAAAAGATCTAGTCTTGGCTTACTACAAATTTGACCCAAAAAGGAGAGACTTTAAGAGCCTGATTGATTACAAATTTCTGCTACAGCCAAGTGTCTACTGTGACAATCTACTGGTGGAAAATTACTTAATCACAATTCGTGTATAGAATGTTCCAGGTATGTATACTGCAATAACAAATACTTAAGATTATGTTAAGAAAAATTTATTAAAACATTTACAACATACTGGGCAATCCATGGAAATATTTATTAAAATATTTACAACATACTGGTGCAATCCATGAGAACCTAAATCATTCTATATACTACTATCTCAGCACATCAATGTCAACTTCAAATCAAATATCATTCTGTAAAGTGAACCAGCAGTGCTTGACAAAATTTTGACATCTAAATATTCACTACTAAAGACACGATTTCCAAATTTTTAAGTATTGTACTATTAAATTTAAAAAAAAACCTTAAAATCACTAATATATTAAGCCAAACAGTACTACTTATTTCTCTCATTCACTTTTGTATTCTTAGCATTATTTTCCATTATACTCCTAGATCTATATAATGGACACTTAATTGACATTAATGAAGAAAGGAATGGATATAAGTTCTTTTTCAAAGACTTTTTTTTTTAATGGTCACAGCATTTGTATGGAGGTTACAATTTAAGTTGGGAAATAAATACATAAAAAGCTAAATAACACGACAATTAAATGTATCACGTAGCAGAATATAATTATTGCAAATTTAGTGGCAAAGAGAGTGCTATAAGTTCTGACCAGAGTGATATTATTATAGATTGCAGTCCTTTTGGTCTCGCAACAAGACAAGGAAGATGTATTTCAATTTAAAAAAGGAACGTGACACAGCATTCACCCCACCCCTAAAATTATCAAAGGAAATCAATAACTAAAGTCTCTTTATAATATAAAGAAACTACTATACAAGGTTTTTAAAGCCTATGTTAGCCTGAAAAAAGTTAGAACATTCCGCACAACCGTTTGCTGGATCCAGGACCTCCAAATAGTCCTGAAATACAAGTCTCTCCAGAACAATATTCCCCGATTCTCTCTTCTTCCGCCCCCCATGGAGCTTTCCACTGGACAGCCGCCAGAGAAATTTCTCCCAGTATCTGCAATGGCAATACTCTCATCATCTTCCTCTCCCTCCCCTCGCCTGTATCAGACGGTGGCATCTCCCTCCAGAGGAAAAACTGGAGGGCGGGGGAGGCAGCATAAGAAGGAAAGCTTGCAGCTTGGTTGATTTTGAAAGAGGGGGAAGGTGAGAAAATGCGGAGGGTGGGGGCGAAGGTGGGGTCCCTTCAGTTCTAGCTCAGTTTGTAGAAGGCCTGGCCCACACTTCCCCACCCCAAAGGCACGCCCCTTGCATGCCGGACCCGAGTGTCACCCGAGTGACAGTACCACAACCTGTACCGCGCACGCCCCCTGCCCACAGGCACGCAGGAAAACGACTGCCCCCTGCCCCACCAGCAGCAGCCCTTTACTCTTTCTCCTCCCCCCACCACCACGTCGCCAACGAGTGACAGGTCCCGGGGGAGGCAACTGCAATCGCGTGCCTTTCGAGACTACTGGTGCAACCTAGCACTGTACCCCTCCAACAGATGCGGGCAGGGTAGATAGAACGTTCCGGACCGCCCAGGGGACCCGGTCCAGGCCTAGCCTAGCCCCAGCTGCCCTACACCGGGCGGGGGTGGCACTTACTGCGGAGGTTGTGGATTAGCTCCGAGTGGCTGGCGCCGCCGGATTTCCAGGCCATCGCTAAGCACACCCGGAGCAGGTACAGAACCACCTTCAGTGCGGCGACGGTGCCCAGCAGTTTCCCTAAGAGTGAGACCACCTCCCACACGGTCACCGCCCCGCTCGCGTCCCCGCTGGAGCCGCCGCTGTTACTGCCGTCGCCGCCGCTGCCGCTGCCGCCACTGCGCGCTCCCGGCATCCCCCGCGGCACGCATGCGCTCTGTGACGCCGCGCGGCCTCGGGTGCGGCCGGGTGGGGCCGGAGGCGCGGGAACTTAGCGGCCCCGCTACCCGCGTCTGTGGTTGTTGCGGCTGCTTGGGAACCGCGGGCAGGGCCGGCTGAATCAGCACTGCCGTCGCCGCTGCTGCCAGTTCTTTTCTGAGGCCTTGGACTCTGCCCCGCCTTCGCCCTGCGACCGGGAGGGAGGCCCCCGGCGCAGTCTGGCGCGTTCCTGGCTGAGTCTCCTATCACCGACCGCGACGGCAGGATGGCGGGGTTGATGTGAGCCGCGGCTGCTGGTTGCTCCGCAGTGGCCGCTGGTCAGCTGTTGCAAGCGGCGGGTCTGCTCCTATAGCTGTCCAGATTGTTAGATGGTGGGCTTCATTCTCACCCAACCCAGTTGACTAATATTTAGGTTGGTTAGAGTCTAGGTTCTCTGTGGTGGAGCCCGAATAATAGAACAATAATCTGAATAGAACCCAAGGCAAAGCCCTCTCTAATCCCAAGTACACCAGTCTCTGGCTTTGTGACAAGCATGTCACTGTTTGGTTAAGCGAAGACTTTGGGATCCTGGTTTGTTTTCAACTGTAAAGTGCAAATTCAGAGAATGGAAAAATACCATGACAAATGGGGGTTGCATGAGGGGCAAAGCTTTGCTCATTTAGAACAATACAAACCTAAAGGTTGCAAAAGGTTAAATACACACACACACAGAGTATCCTGTGGTGAAGGTAGTATTCTCCCAATGCAAGTGTGTTTCTAGCTAATCAAACCTCGCGAATTCCACTGTAGCTTTATTGCTATGAGCTCTGCAAGACTGAGGAGTGAGAAGCTAGCTAAGAACGTTGCCTGTCGCATCAAAATTGCTGACTCCTAATTAAAAGTAGGACCGACAGAATCCAGCAACCGTTTAGTCCAATAACCTTTCTGGAAGAAAACAAGGCTAAGATATATATGCTACTATGTCAGTAGCAATTTTCAAGTTCTAGTTCTTACCAGATTTTGTCATTTATGTTTCTCACCCTGCCTGGAATCCAAAATGTACATTACCTATTTTCTGCGATTCTGTGACCATAAATGAAACCATGCAAAACTATGTTCTTCAATATGAAACAGAAAGAAAATTGTTGCTTTGGGACTCTTATCCATTTAATAGTTTTCCTTTTCGAGACAGTCTCACTTTGTCACCCTCATAGAATGTTATGGTTGGGCAGTGCCTATGGCTGAGGGAGTAGGGACCCAAAGTCATATACTGGAGGTGGCGGGTTCAAACCTGGCCCTAGCCAAAAACTGCAAAAAAACCCCCAGAATATGTTAGGATGTCATAACTGACAGCAACCTCAAACTCTTGGGGACAGGCCATTCTCTTGCATCAGCCTCCTAAGTAGTTGGGACTACAGGCACCTGCCACAAGGCCAAGCTTGCTTTTCTATTTTTAGTAAAGATAGGGGTCTCTCTCTTGCTCAGGTTGGTCTCAAACTCCTGAGCTCAGGTGATCAGCTTCCCAAAGTGCTAGGATTACAGGCATGAGTTACCACACTGGGCCAATAGTTTTCCTTTTCATGTCTCTGCAATTTCTTGATGATCTTCTGGTTGGAGGAAGGGGAATCAAGTCCCTGTAGGAACCTGATAACTCTATCTAAGCTGACCCAGGATGGGCCTGGTGGCTCAGCATGTAATCCTAGCACTCTGGGAGGCCGAGGCAAGTGGATTGCCTGAGCTCATGGGTTGGAGACCAGCCTGAGGAAGAACGAGACTCCCATCTCTAAAAATAGCCAGACATTGTGACAGGCACCTGTAAGAGGCAAGAGAATCCCTTGAGCCCAAGAGTTTGAGGTTGCTGTGAGCTGTGACGCCATGGCCCTCTCCCACGGGTGACAAAGTGAGACTCTGTCTCAAAAAAATAAAGTTGACCCAGATGGGTTGCATTTGCATACAGTGTTTCTGCAAGCTGGCCTTGTGAAGTAATGTTATGAGTGGGATCCTACATGCCACCAGATGAACACAAGTTTCTTGGTTCCCAATAATGAAGAGTGGTTACTGGTACTGAGTCCACAGAGTAAATGACTGAAGCAAGCAGGTATAGGCCAGCAAAGTGCCAAAGTTTAAACAAGAGCTGCTCTTGGCTGGCTCACCAAAATGTTTGAATGGTGCAGTGACAGTTAGTTGCTAAAATAATGGGAGAGCAAGAGCAAGTAATGTTTTGGCAAGAAAGAAGAAGTTTATTTTAATGACCTGGGTAGCAGGACGAGCCTCATCTAAGGACTGCAGGCCTTAGGAAAGTGCAGTGCTGGATTTTATACACAACTTTTGGGGGATATCAGTTGCTTCTTAAAAATCCCCAGGATTTTGATCATCTCTGTTCCCATAATAATTTGTATCTATCTGTTCACATTAGAAAGTACCAGAGACTTTGTTCCCCCCCAAACAACAAGCTCCCCCAAACAAGCCACCTGCAAGGTCTTGATTAGCAATTAGCCCCATTCCCACAATAGCCAGGTCAGCCTCACCCAAGCCAATCCAAAATAGCCTGACTGCATCTGCCATCCACCCTGATCCTTTCTGTCTAATTGCCTAGTCTAACAGTAAAACTAAAAATAACAGATAAAAGCAACAACATATCACCTTTTGAAAAGAAACTGCCAGCACACTCTTATGAATACCTACTGTGTAAAGGAGATTAAGATGATTAAGTCATACCTCTTGTATTCGGTATTCTAATTGGAGAGAACTGCATCTTAAGAAAACTACAGTATGCAAAATATGTGTCATTAGTGATCTAGGTAACAAGTGCTATATTAATATAGATCAACATGAGAAGGTACAGAAAGGAACTGATCTTGAACCATAGGCAGGATTATGAGAAATGGAGACAGTAATGGAAGGATATTACAGGTGTAAACAAAGCACAAACAGAACCTAGAGCACCGATTCCTGGGCTGTTGACATTAGATATCACCAAACTCATTCTTAAATATTTACATGAATGATTTGATCAAGGCTACATGGCCAGGCAATTGGCATCAAAACTAAAACTGGAGTTTTCAAAAGTCCAACTCGAGGCTCTGAAAGTGTGTTAACTTTGAAGCAAAGGATTTATTTGGGGGACAAGAGGGAGAGGTTCAGGATAAGTTGGCACTTTAGTTAAAGTACTTCCGTGAGAACATAAGAATTTTGCTCACTAAAGTGCAACTGAATGCTTAAGATGCAATTACAAGGTGATTTCTCCCGCATTGGTTTTCTTCTTAAATTTTAATTTAAAATTTATTTTCTTCTTAAATTTTACATAGCACAATTACTGCACAAATGAATTGTTTCAGTGCAACTATACTGAATTTGCAAGTCCTATCGCACAAGGCTTCAGAAGTGCTCTGGCCTCTGCGCAGAACCTCATTTCTGAGAATGGGAGTCGCAGGTGCTTTCAGGTTGGATCTTGGCAGTGTGAGTACTGGCTACTGACGAAAATTGACTCTCTGCAGCCACCGTCTCCCCTGAGTTCTCATCCAATCAGGGCTCCACGGGAAGGGGAGGAACCGACAGGCTCCTCCTTGTGCTCCTTGAAGTACCTTTTGAGGTTGATTTCGGCATGGAGGATATTTATGCTAAGTTCGTGTCTCAGAAAATAAGCAAAACCCGCTGGCGGCCGGTATCTCCAGGGAGTCTGCAGACCGCGGAGACGTTCGCTACAGGGTCTTGGGACAATGAGGTATCTCGTCTGTTCCTGGGCTGGGAGTCCCTGTGCGCGCTAGAGCGCGCGCTCTCCAGTTCAACCGCGCCCCTGGCTGCCCGCGCGAACTCACCTTCTGGCTTTTCTTGCACTTCTGCGTCTCTCGATCCCTCATGTCAGGCACAGAGCCGGCGACGGTGTTCCTGAGCCTCTTATCTCATTGCGTTTTAAAGTCTCACCGAACCTTTTGTCTGAGATGCTTTGGAAACAAGATTGCCTGAAGGCGATACAGCTTTTATTTTCACGAGAGTTGACATTTATGTCATCTCAAGACAAAACTTTTTGCTTTCCAGGAAAATTATGTTTCACTGTGGTCCATTGGCGATTTTGGAAACTTGGACTCTGATGGAGGGTTTGAAGGAGACCATCAATTATTGTGTGATATCAAACACCATGGTGATGTAATGGATTTACAGGTAAATCTGTGTAGTATTCAAAAACCTAACTTTCGAAAAAACTAGGAGTAATAAAGACGCAGAGAACGGAGGCCGAGGCGGGTGGATAGCTTGAGCTCACGAGTTTGAAACCAACCTGAGCAAAAGCGAGACACCATCTGTACTAAAAATGGAGAAACTGAGGTAGGAGGATCGCCAAGAGTTTGAGGTTGCTGTGAGCTATGACGCCACGGCACTCTACCCAGGGCGACAGCTTGAGATTCTGTTTCAAAAAAAAAAAAGGCTCGGTGCCCATAGCCCAGGGGTTAGGGTGCCAGCCATATACACCGGGGCTGGTGGGTTCAAACCCGGCCTAGGCCTTCTAAACAACAATGACAACTACAACTACAACAACAACAAATAGCCGGGCGTTGTGGCGGGTACCTGTAGTCCCAGCTACTTGGGAGGCTGAGGCAGGAGAATCTCTTAAGCCCAAGAGTTTGAGGTTATTTGGATGGTGAGCTGTGACGCTATGGCACTCTACCAAGGTAGCAAAGTGAGACTCTGTCTCAAAAAAAAGACGCCGAGGACCTTAAAGTTTGTCTAGTCTCACCCTGGTTTTCAGGAAACTGAGTTAACATCATTTAGCCACTTTGTGGAAGAATCCTGGCTGGGAAGGGTGGTGTAGATCTAGTCACAGTTTTTTAATGAATTGACAGTCTACTACGTGCTATGCACTGTTTGGATAGCGTTATGTAAGCTATTTTTTTTTTTTTTGAGACAAAGTCTCACTATAGCACCCTGGGTAGAGCATGAAGTACATAGCTCACAGCAACCTCCACCTCTTGGGCTTAAGCGATTCTCTTGCCTCAGCCTCCCAAGTAGCTGGGACTACAGGCGCCCACC